TTCTAATAACTGCCTCCCAGTTAGCGTCTGCTTCTCCGAGTCTCCTCACAAGTCCAAACATGGTTGCCCCAGCGTTTGTTTGATGAGAAACAACTACAGTGAGAACACACAGGAGGACAGGGTGACGGGGTCAGGGGCCATGTCTGTGACTCGAGATGGCCCAAGGTATACAGTGAGGAACAGGCCCTGGTGGTGGCTCTGCCAGGTGGACGTCACACCTTGGCATGGACTCCGGGGTACATTAAGTCCACAGCAGCAGAGAACTTCCTTGCCCGGCGGCAGAGGGAGGAAGGGCCCCCTAGAATTCTCGCATGCAGAAAAAGGTGCTGGTTCTGAAATGTTCTGCTCTCTCAGGTTTGCTGGTTGACTCCCGAGCAGACAGCAGGAAAGAAGAAGCCCTTTGTCTACACCCAGGGGCAGGCTGTCCTAAACCGGGCCTTCTTCCCTTGCTTCGACACTCCTGCAGTGAAGTGCAGATATTCAGCACTCATTGAGGTAAGGGGACTAAGGTTAGGGGCATCTGCCCTTGGAATTAAGAATGTAATGTCAGATCTCTCAGGGCACATTGCAGTTGGTAAATGATGTGCATCCAAGGGATGAAAGTTCCTTTTCTTTTATTTATTTCTTAAGAGGTCTTTGCCTTACGGTATGTAAGCTCACCAGGGAGAGACAGACAGACAGACAGACAGACAGATAAAGTGAGAGAGAAAACGAGAAATCACTTTCCCCAGGGAAGATGGCCATGCCACAATCCCTTCTCCTCCCGGGACCTTGGGCATGCATGCACACAAGCCCAGCATGATTTTGAAGCCACCAGGTCTGGGACTTGAACTGTGGTTGGCCATGGGGGAGTCCATCAATGTAACCATTACACCATCTGGTGGCTCCAGTTTCTTTTCAATTCTTCTAGCTATGAAGTCGGGATGCAGCCTTCCTCTGAATCCCATCCTTGTTTAGTTTCTGGAAGCCTCATGTTCTCTCTGGCAGACTCTGGGTCATTCTCATCCCCATGCAGGTTGCCAGGTATGCTGTTCTTCAGGCTAATCAAAAGGAGACTATTGAGACTAGCAGTTAGCATAATGGCTACATCACTGGACTCCCATGGAGTTGACCGTGGTTCTAGTCTCGGACCCAGTAGCTTGAACTCACACCAGGTACACTGCATGCATGCCCAAGATCCCAAGAGAAGAATGGAGAAGAAGGGATTGCGGTGTGGTCATCCCTCCTGGGAAGTGATTTCTCGCTTTCTGTCTCTCTCTGTCTTTTTGGTGAGCACACACGCCCTATAGCAAAAACCTCTCCAAAAAGGAAAAAAAGATTCTCCGGATAAACTGTCCTGTGCTTTCTCTGTTGTCAGGTCCCAGATGGCTACACAGCTGTGATGAGTGCTAACACCTGGGAGAGGAGGGGGCCGAATCAGTTCTTCTTCCAGATGTGCCAGCCTATCCCGTCCTATCTGGTAGCTCTGGCTGTCGGAGACCTGGTTTCGGCTGAAGTTGGTCCCAGGTAGGAGACATAGAGCACACAGGCGAGGTGGGTCCACAGGAGACAGGAGGACTGGCCGCTGTACCTGCCGGGGTGGTTCCCAGGGAGGCTTTTGCTGCGGCAGAACATGGGCCTGAGTGCAGCCCCAGGGGGTGCTGGTCCCCTCCCTCCAGATCTAATCCTGCTGCCAGGGATGTGATCATCTGTCCTGCTAGCAGAAGCTGCTGTCCTGGGCCTTCTCCAGGAGTGAAGTTGGAGCTTAGGCATCAGTTTTTGTTTTGTTTTGTTTTGTTCTTAAGGTTTTTGTCATAGGGCACGTGTGCTCACTGGAGAGACAGAGGTAGTGAGAGGGAAAGTGAGAAATCAACTCTCAGGGGGCTGGCTATGCCCCAATCCCTTCTTCTCCATTCTTCTCCTGGGATTTTGGGCATGCATGCACATATGCCCAGTGTGATTTTCAAGCCACCAGGTCTGGGACTCAAACCATAATCAGCCCTGTGGAAATCCAGCACCTCAACCACTATGCCACGTGCTGGCCCCTGGGCAGCAATTTGAGCAAGTGGATTTTTTAGCATCTTTAAGTCTAAATTACTTTCTAACAACTGTATTCACTCTTTAATCTTCGTGGCAGATCGCTTCATTTTTCTCTAGCACTTCATCCTTGGAAATATATAACTTGGATCTCCTGATCTCCTTACAAATGAGAAGTGGAATCTTCCTGTCTGCTGCAGGTGCATGACCCCATGCCTGGGGTGATGGTGATCCCTCCATGAGTTAGCTGGGTTTATGGAGATGAAAAGGGATTTTGTAAGGTTTTCTTTTTTTTTGAGAGAGAGAAGTTTTTGCTGTAGAGCATGTGTGCGTGCCAGATAGAGAAACAGACAGAAAGTGAAAAATCACCCTCCCGGGGGAATGGTCACACCGCAATCCCTTCTCCTCCATCTCTTCTTGGGATCTTGGGCACGCATGCACATGTGCCCGGCGTGAGTTTTTA